CCCCAAAACCCCAAAACCCCAAAACCCCAAAACCCCAAAACCCCTAATCATTAAATTTAGCTAGGTTTCTAAAATAAAATGGAAAACAGAAATAAAATAGAAATTTGTTATGGAAGAATATTGAGAGTGGGGTTATATTTAAATAAAATTAAGAACTATGCTAAGTTCTCTAATTTAATCACACACAGGATCATTGAAGCTGTCTTTGAACGTCAGTGATTGTTGGAACGAGGTTTATAGCACCACCTGTGACAACCATTGTTGGTTTGGTTGAGAGGGTTCTGCCAGCAGCTCTGTTGATATCCTCACTGGTGACCTTGTCGATTTGGTCGCAATATTGATGGAAGGTGAGATCTCCGAAGGTGAGGAAGTTCTTAGCGATTTCTTCAAGTCTGTCCTCTGACTTCTCGAGGTTGGTGAGGGTTTGCATCTTGAGCTTATTCTTGGCTCTAGCAAGTTCTTCATCGCTGACTCCGTTTCTGAGGTTAGCAAGTTCCTCAAGAGCAACGTGGAGTAGGTCTTGGGAGTGAGAACCAGCTCCTTGGATTTGAATACCGAAGATACCTGAATCAGAGAAATGGCTATTGAGTGACTCAACTGAATCAACAAAGTTGTGGCTCTTTAGTAAGTTGTAAGCTCTGTTCTTTCCGTGGGCAGAGTTACCAATGAGGGAGTGCATAACGTGATGAGCAGCAGTGTCTTCGTGGTTCCATTGGGATGAGTTGAAGGCAAGGACAATGTTTGTTTATGGGCTTTCAGTCCAGCTTCTGTATTCACCACCGATGTACTCTGAAGCAGTTCTCTTATAGAGATGCTCTGGGACTGGGAGAAGATCTCCAAGTCTCTCCTTGACTAGATCAACATACTCCTTGTGATTTTGGACACCTGAGGCAACAATCAAACATTTTCTTGGGGTGATGTTGTCCATAATGAATTGTTGTAGCATTCTAGCATCAATGTTATCAATGTTGTGCTCAAGTCCGAGTCTTGGCATACCAAGGGTGTTGTAACCATAAGCAGTTCTGAGGACTAGGTCTGAATTCTCAGAGAATGGATCGTACTTGTGAAGATGCTTGCTTAGATCGTGACTCTTTCTATTCTTAGATCTGGCAACGTTGGCAGCAAGAACTGATCTTGGCTCAAGAGCAATATCAACAAGCATTTGGAACATGTCAATAGTATCATACTCAAGGCAGTGACCCTTGAAGAACATTCTTTCTTGATCGTAATCCATAACCATATCACCACCAGACATTTGGATCATACCATAGTTGATTGTCTCATTGGTGTGCTTTAAAGTCTTGAGGTAAGTGTTCTTAAGGGCAAGGAGGGCTCCTGAAGTTTCGTGAGTCTCATCTCTAGTACCAACATCAATAAGGAAACCTAATTAATTATTAATAATATATATATTTTAATACCCATGTTGACTGCACCTGGGAAGACCTGACTTTCTGTCAATACAGTGAATCCGTTGGATAGTGTGGTAATGTTGTACTCTGGAGCCTAATCGTTGGCCTCGATTGGTTTGTGGCCCTGTTAAATAATTAAAGCGTTAAATCTAAGATACCTTGAGAGGTACGGTGGGATCGTACTTAGCCATCGAGTAGGCAGATGTTTTAGTATCAACTGTGTTCAAGATACGAGCCAAAATTCCTGGGTTGGAACCAAAGTCTCTTCTCTATTTGTTCATTGGGATTAAAATATGAGTGATGGGCTGATGTGCTTACGAAGTGTTAAAGTAGAGTTTTGCTTTGTGATTTGAAGGCCTTGCTCAGCATCTTTCTTTTAGAATAATTATTAATTATTAAAATCAAACCTCCTATATTCTTACCACTCTAATTTATATTTAAAGAAATTAAGAATTTAAATCATTGAATAATTAATAATTTACAAAAAAAACAAAACAAAAATTAGTTAAATACTCACTAAGTTTGGCAATAGCCTACTTAATATTATTCTTTCCTTCTATTTTCGCTCAATCAGCAATCTTATTTGGAACTTATACTAGAGATCGCGACTTAATCAATCCATATTGCTTGAATCAAAGTTAATTTAAAGCAAATTAGGCTTATTTCTTTTCTATGCTGCCTGTTCTAATAGTTATTATTTTGATATATTTTGCTATATGAACTCTAGCAAAAGTAACAATTCTACTCCTTTTGTCATATCATCAACAGCAGTCAGTGCTATGTAAATATTATAATCAATCAACCCCTGGACTATTGCATAATCTTCATTAAATGTGGATATTTCTAAATAATTGTCTAATGCTTCTAAGGACTTATTCTTGGGCTGTTGAAATAAAGATATTACATATGAGCCAGTTATAAGTTCATGAATTAATTATTCCTGATCCAAAGGAGTCAAACTTAAGTCTATGTATACTGTATTTGATTGATATATCTCGACTAAAGGTATTTTCAAGTCAAGTTTGACATCTATATCATCTAACTTATCATGTGAATTATTTTTTGAATTCTCTTCTTCCATCTCAATTTTTGAATAAATTTCGTCCAAAAAGTCATCATCTAGATCAAATTAACTTTTGCAGCTTGATTTTTTACCCGTTTTATAAATGTCATTTTGAGAATTATTTTGATTATCTTTGCTTTCTATCATATATTAGTCATAATCATAAATATCTTGCTAAAATGAATTATCTAGTCCTAGAAATTCGTAAGCTTTTTACTGATTTAAGCAAGCCTTTTAAATAATTTACTCATTTTTTACAAGATATTATTTTGTTTGCTAGATATCACCTCTAAAACTTTAAGGATTTTACCATGAATTTTAATTAAACCTCTACTAATCTTCGAGGAAGTTTTAAAAATTGTTGTGAAATGAAATTTGTTAATTCTAATCATGATAGTTAAGATTGCCACTATTTTTAACAAATTATTTAACAATAATTTCTTTTCAACATTCTCTAAAGCCTTACTAGCTAATTCCTGTATTTGAATTCTAATTTAAGGAGCTAGGGCAGATTTTACTGTTGAAGTTTAAATGGTTTTTATTTCAATTTATTGCTCATTAGCTTTAGGAGTTAATTATTTCTATTTGGTCTTCCGAATCATCATAATTCCCAACTTAAATTATGGGCTACTTATTCGAATTCTATTGAAACATATTGTCCTATGTAATCATCTATTCCATCATCATTTCTTCCTATTAAAGCTAGGCCATACCACCATCCTTCATATACTTATCGTATTCCTCATCAATTTCCTCCTCGCCTCTAATATTTTCCATATCTTAATCCTCTGCATCTGGATCATGGCAAATATTAAGTTGAAACTGATCATCTTCTTCTCCATAATCCTCATACTTCATACTACTATCCATATTTCCATACTCTTCCTACTTCACATCATACATCCCTCCAGTTCCTTGATAGTTATATGAATTGAAATTACTGTGATGTTACTGCTATGACTATTAATGATCATTATCAAATTCTTAGTTGCTACTGAACTCAAACCTAGATTGATCAAAATTTGAGTGAGTTTTTAATAATGTTTCTTAGTCAAGTTTAATGCTTGATTAACCCTTCTTTGTATAAGTATCTATTTTCTCATCTTTGATTGACTGTGGAGTAGTAGAATTGGTAGAACTATGATCATCTGCGCTTCCAAAAGGAACCATTGGTATATTACTTTAAACATTTTTCATCTACTGATTCTATTTTTAGTTTTGAAATTTGTTGAAAGAATTCGTATAACTATTTTGAGATTGATCAATTTTAATTCCTTGATTTTGATTAGGTTTTTATCCCTGTTTTTTTTACAAATTACTTTAATTTTTCCTTAGGTCTTATTCTTACTTCACTTGTGATTTTATAGGACTCTGTTGATATAATGGTTTATATTTATCAACACTTTCATCACCATCTTAGTTACCTGTCCCGAATTATTGATACTATTAAACATTCTTGGAATTTGGACTTTGTTTAAGATTTAAATTATTATTCCTTGGTTCCTCTTAATACTCTTCATTTTCATTAATACCACCTCCTCTGATACTTTATTTAATTTTTTCTTGAATCATTTATACTTTGCTCTTGAAATTTTGTTCTTTTTTCATAGGATCTTCTGGAACCTTTTTCTATTGTATTTATTGATTTTTTGCATATGGATTGATAAAAGGCCGACTTACTCCATTTTCATCAGGATTGTCTCCGTTAGGAGCAAGATTATATGATGCAGGCATCGGTTTATAAATTGATCTGAAAAATTCCCACAAAGCAGCTCTCATTTTACTCAAGAACATACTCTCTCCTGGAAATTTAATATATCGGATGTCAAGTGCATTTACAATATCATAAGCATTTTAGTCTTCACAGACAAAATGCAAAAATACAAAAGGAAGACTTCTTGGATTAACTTTAAAATCCTAGTACAAATTGTAAAATGCGGTCTTGAAATGGGTGGGTATTTCTGCAGGCTTGTGATTAAAGAAATAATGTATGTTCTTCTTAGTTAGATTTACAAGTTCTCCATTAGAATAAGGACGTACCAAGTAGGCTATAATTTTGAATTACGAAATTTGCTTCTCGAATAATGTAATCTCATTTGGAGTAGCACAGAATGGAGTTTTACTGTAATAATTGTTTAGAATTGTGTCTAAATTTTTCTTGCAACTACCTGGCCCATGAGTTTACCAAAAATGTCTTATAGTTCTAACAATAATAAAATTTGAATACTTCTTACCTCGCATTGTTGTGTCTATTGACAAACTCGTTTGATAAAATTAGTGTAACATTATAAAGGATCATGGAGAAGTCATTCATTATATTCAATGCATTTTGATATTATTCTTGCCAAGATCTTTGATATTTGATTTAAGCTTAAGGAAAGTCACCATGAATATTTCTTACTGATACAATTGTTCCTTATCTATCTTTCATGATTTCATCAATTCTTCCTATCTCACAATCCTTAAAAGTGACTTCATATCCAGTCTTTGAACTATGATATCTTGTAATCACTTTCAGTTCACTACATTTGCTCAATGAGCATAATGCCTCACCTCTGTAACCAAGGCTAAGAGTTTTATATTTTTGGTTGCTTTATCTTTCTTGAAAGCATTTACAAAGATCATCAAATTCAGTCTCAGGAATCCCAGAGCCATCATCGATAATGTCAAAACCAAATTTTCCTTACATGATTAATCTGACTTCAATTTTCTTAGCCTAAGAGTGAACAGCATTTTCCACCAATTAGGCTACCCAGATTCGAAGCTGGTTGTTTAAGTCATGAATTGGAATATCTGAATTAAAGAGAATATCAAAATGCTGCTTATACTATGACACTTATTTGTGATCACCTATTCCTTCGAACTATTGCTTCTTTTTCAATCAAAATTTGAATTAATTTGTTTATTTATAATTGTAGTTCTAACGATATCCTCCAGCAGGAATTGGGGCGCCACCTGGTCTTCTTGACATTCAAATTCTTTTTATTTTAAATTTAGTTTGTAAGCTTTTAGTAATAAAAACAGGTTTTAATTTGATTAACTTTTTTCATTTTCTCCAATTATAATCAATCCTGCATATAGGGGTTTTGGGGTTTTGGGGTTTTGGGG